TTCTCCTTCCTCCTCCCAGCTGTTGGCAGGTGACTCCAGACAATTCCAGGCTCCCAGTGGTGAATTCCTCCCAAGATTTTGGGCTTCCCCTTCACCCTTTGCCGAAATCACCCCCGGGGAGAGCCGCAGGATTTCAACGCTTTCAACAAGCTCTCTGGTAAAGGTTCATTTACCACCCACCCATTTTTTTTAGGGGGGTAATAATTGACCTGAACCTCAAGGTTTAGGTCTCAAGCTGAGCTTTGCCGCAGCTCTTGGGGCAGGAAAACCCAGCCCCGAACCTCAGCAAAGGGTTAACTTCTCCTTCCCCCTGATTGCTCCGGCTCCTGCCAGGCGGAAGTTGGAAACGAGCAGTTCAAGTTCAAAGCCCTCGTTTCTTGTGCTGTGCGGTTTGTTTTTCCCCCCTCTCAGGAACCGGCCGGGAAGGAGCTCCCGGGGATGGCCCAAGATTCCCGGTGCCAGAATTCCCACCTCTATTACTACGGCATCAAATTTGCCCTCTCCACCTACTCCACCCTGTTCTCGGTAGGTGCTCCGGTTCCTTTTTCCACCTTTCCCGGTGTTCCCCCCCCTCCCCTTCCGAAAAAATCCCCCTCCCGAGGGTTGGATTTGGCTTTTCGGTGTCCAAATTTCCCCCTCTGTGGGTTGGATTTCCCAGATTTCCCCTTTCCCCCCACCGTGGGTTTGATTTGGATTTTCAGTGTCCACATTCCCCCTCCTGGGCGGCGTTGGATTTTCCAAATTCCCCCCCTGAGGGTTGGATTTGGCTTTTCAGTGTCCAAATTCCCCCCTTCACAGGTTGGATTTGGTTTTTCAGTGTCCGAATTTCCCCCCTCACGGATTGTATTTGGATTTTCAAAGCCTGAATTTTCCCTTTCCAAACCATCAGCTGCTGGTGCAGCGAAGCCCCTTTTGTGCTCGGTGCTGGTTGGGGCCCAAACTGGCAATTTTGGGGGGAAAAACGTGGGATTTTGGTGGCTCTTAAAGCTCCTCCCTGGGATTTTCCTGCCCTAGAACAGCTCCTGGGAATTTTTTGGGGTCGTGAGTCAGGTTTTGAGGAGTTTGGAGCTGAAAAACCAAGGGAATTCAGTGTTTTCATCCCATGACACTGTCAGATCCCCCCTGCCCGTCTCAGACATGGAGGAAGGGGAGTTTTTATCCACTTCAATAATTTTAAAACTTAAAAACAAACCTGTCTTTAAGCAGTTTGGAATCACTGAACTGTGGCCAGGACTTCCCTGCACCTGGGAGGTGCAAAGTGTCAGGGAAGGGGAAACCAGAAATCCCACATCCTTTTGGGGTCTTCAGGAGATATAAAGTGATTTTTTATTTTATTTTTTTTTTAGGTTCAATCTTACATAATCCTGACTGTATTTACAAATATTTCCTCCTGAGGGTTAAATAACCCTCGTGCCCTTGCTGGGTGTGTGTGTGTGTGTCTAATTGCACAGAAATCCCCGTGCAGGTGCCCAGGGAGGGTGTGCAGGGCTTGAAAAATGCTTTTTAATTCCGTATTTATTTATTGTTTAAATGATTTAACTCCTTGGAAAGGGCAGGGTTCACCCTTAATAACCAAAAAAGGGTTTTTTTTTGGAGAATATCTCACTGATTTCCTCGTGGTGTGGGGGGTGGGAAGGTCCCAAGGGGTGAGGATTTCCTGCAGCATGGCCAGATTCCTGCCCTGCACCCAAAAAGCCCCAAAAATCCACTTTCTTCCCCCATTTCTAGCTGGTTTTACAATATTTTACAATATTTTACAATATTTTACAAGCAGTTTTTGGCTGCAAAATTAATCTGTGGGGAAAGCTGAGGTTTTGGTCTCTCTCAAGAGCCAAGTGCCTCTCACTCTGAGGTTTCCCCAGTTGCCTTTGAGCTGCTGGAGAGGTTGGGAGGAGGATTTAATCCTAATTAACCTGCACCCAAAGTTGGATCTGTGCTTTGGAATGTGGATTAACGCTGGGATAATTTAATTTCTAAATGTTTATTAGTTGCTGAGGAATTTTGGGGGCTCAGTGGGGTGAATCCACCAGCAAGAGGAGACTCATAGTTCCCCAAAAAATGGAAAACAATCCTAATTAATCTGCACCTAACACCAAGGCTGTGCTTTGAAACGTGGATTAACAGTGGGATAATTTAATTTCTAAGTGTTTATTAATTGCTGAGGAATTTTGGGGGGCTCAGTGGGGTGAGAAGAGCCTCGTAATTTCCTAAAGGATGGAAAATAAGTAGGAAAAAAAAGGCACTTTGAATAGCTCCCACCCCGCCTGCCTTCAGCCCTGGGATGGTCCTTCCAGAGGGATCCTGCTCCGGGGAATCCATAGGGATTGTGCTGCTCCAGGGAGCCTTTCAGCCTGACCTATTTCTGGCCTCATTTGCACCAAATTAATTCACTGGAGCTGTCCAGACCCTCAAAGGTTCGTTAATGAGCCGTGACCAGGCTGGTTTGTCCCTGGAAAAATGCATTCCAGAAAAACAAAAAAAAAACCAAAAAAAAAACCAAAAAGGATTGGGGAGAAACTCGGATTTCAGGAAAGATTTGGAAAATCCAGAGGAATAAGAGTTGGTTCACCACGAAGGAATGAGGAGCTTTAAGGGGGAGATCCAGCCAAGGGTTGTCCCAGCCTGCAAAAACATGGATTTACATCCTCGGAATCCTTCCCAGTGCTTTGGTCACAGCTGGAAAAATCCCTAAAAATGTGAGGGATGAGCCTGAAAGTGGCTTTAAGCCAGACATGGAGCAAAGGGCAGAGGGGTTTGGGCTGGTTTTATCCAGGAGGTTTTAATCCTCGGTGAGGATTCAGTGGAGCAAAGACTTGGAGTTTCCTTTCCACAGAGGAACCCTTCTTTCCCTTCCTTACTTTTCCCATAAAATCGAGAAAAGATATTCTAATTGACCCTTCTAAAAGCCTGTTTTTCACATTTCTGCTCGCTGTTGGCAGCTGAGCCTTTATATGATGCACTTAATCACGGTGTTATTAATCCCAAGGTTCTACTTTCAGTGACTGAAACCATCCAGCCCTTCCTAAATCACATTTTCTGAGGCACTTTGGGGGCCTCAGCAGGGCATCCTGGTGAATCCACCAGGCAAGGGGAGGCTCATCCTTTCCCAAAGAGTGGAAAATAAACCCCTAAATATTAAAAAGCCCCTTAGAACCCCCCCTGAGGAGGAGCAGCAGTGCCCCGGTGCCGTGAATTCGAGGCCTGCAGAAAGCGGGGAGGATGATTCTGCTGTGAAATGAAGCTCTGCAAATTCAATTTTGCCCTTCATTTCTGCACTTCTGGTCACCTTGGCTGGAGAGGGAAGTGACTCCCCATCCCCTGAGCTGCTCCTGGACCTCTGCTCTGACTCACACACTCTGTGTGTCGTGACTTCTGCTGTCCCTGAGCGAGGAGGAATCAGTGCTAACACAGCCTTGACTCATCCAGTTCATGCCATTCCCTCTGGAAAAAAAGCCATTTTCTGGGGGCTGCACCTTGGCAGGATTTGGGGTGGTTGTGCTGGTTTGATCCCCTTGGGGTTTGTGGTTCCTGTTTGTTCTCTTGTGGTCGGTTTTGTCACTCGGGGTTTTCGGGGATGAGGGGGATGTGGCATCTCTTGGGTGTCGAGTGAAAAGTGGCCTCAAGATGTGGGGCTGGAGCAGCAGGAGCAGCTGAGGGAGCTGGGGGGGCTCAGCCTGGAGAAAAGGAGGCTCAGGGGGGACCTTCTGGCTCTGCAATCCCTGCCAGGAGGGGGGAGATGAAGGGGGGTCGGGCTCTGCTCCCAGGGAACAGGGACAGGAG